CACTTGGGTAGACCCTCCAGGAAAGCTGTCGTCGGGCACAGGTGAGTTGAGCACCCACATCAAGCCTCACCTGTCAGCACGGGGGCTGATCATTCTTAAAAAAGCTGCTGTGTGTCTGACTACAGAACTACTCACTTCCCTTCCCCAAAGTCTGCGGCTGTATAGTCTGAAGGCAGGACCCAGAACAACGTCCTAAGCCTGGAAAAGTGCACAAGTGTTCTTAACTTGCTCATGCTTTTTGGTTAAGGCTTTTTGGTTTTAAGGCTTGCTTCCAGGATCAGGAGAGTCTGTTAAATAACGCATTGTGGAAGTGTCTTAAGAAATTCTTTTTAGAGGTCTTTTAAAGTCTGAGTTGTACCTCAGTCCCTAGGAATGACCTTTACATACTTCTGATTCATAGCTGAAGTTTGCCCGTGGAATTCAAGGCTGAGCCCAGCTCACCTATTAAATAAACACAGAGGCCAGGAAGTCTGGAAGGCAAGGCCCAGATCAGTATATGTGGTGTGGTGTGATGGCTACCGGAAGGACTTCCTTCCTGGAACACCCACCCCTGCCCTGATTTGCATGGGAGCAGCCCAAGTTGCAATGGGAGACCTTTTGAAAACTCACAACTAGACTCTGGAAAAAGAGTCAACTAGAGGACACTTCCTTGTCCCTGAGGGCATTTCTGCCCGTGGCAGTTCCCATGTGCTGCTTGCTCTGGTTCTCCTTGAAATCTCCTCCCGTGTTAGAGCTGAGTACAATCCTGTGGTTAATAAACCCGGGCTCCTCCCAGGGAGGGCTGTGGTCCAGATGAGGCCACCGGGAAAGCACCTTGCTTATGCTGCCGGCCTGGGATCTGCTGACTGAAAGCATCTCACTCGCGACAGGACTGCCAGGTGCCTCCAGGACCCTCCAGCTGTGCTTACCTGGGGCTGGGATGCCAGGAGGAGGCAGCTTCTCCTACCGCTTCCCCCTCTCCCCACCTTCCGGGGCAGGATTGAAGGGCAGCATGACTGCCTGGGGCTGGGAAGGCAGATGGGAGCCTGCGCTGGGCAGGACCAGAGGGCCCAAGAGCCTGGGGTGCTCCCTCCTTCTCCCTTGTTTCACCTGAAGTATTTCCAGCCAAACAACAGCAGCAACGAAGTCCCCTGAAAGTCCTGTTTTCATTTTCAGCCAACATCTCTCAGTGAAATTAGATTTTTAGTAATTTGTTAAGAAAACCTTAGAGCTGGAACAAAGAGCGCCTTTGATCCACTTCCTGTTACTCAGAGATTAGAGCCCCCACACTGACCCCCGTGAACCGAGAAAATGATGACGTACGATTAATGCTCACAGAACAAAAATTTAGGTTGTCATTTTTCTGCATTAATAAATATTTTTAAATGGAATTTTTTTTTTTTAATCCTTGTGTGAAGTTGCCAGATGCCCTTCCTTGGGAAGAACTGCCTTTTATGCTGCAAGTGTGTGTTTTCTACCTACTTCTTTCATTTATGAAATGCTACTAATGATAATTTTTTGAAAAAATACTTTTAAAAAAATACATCTTATTTTGGCAAAATAAGATGCTTGTCATTTCGTTATCAGACTAATGTAATTTCAGTTCTGTACCTGTCTGTCCTGTGGACGGGGGCAAAGGGCACTGAGGATGACAAATGGGTCAGATTTCTGGAATTTGACCCTGCGTCTGGGCGCTGTCCCACCCAGCCTCAGGCGGCATCCCCAGGTGGCCTGTTAAGCATCCTGCGCCACATCGCTTCCAAGCAGACGTGCTCACACCATTCGATTTACATTTCCAAGGAGCAGGAGCCCTGTGGAATTTCAGGGCTCCACCCCAGTAACACAGCCAGGGTCCCCTGAGACCCCTGCCATGACTCAGGGATCTGGAATCTCAGGGGATCGTGACTGGGTTGCAGAGAGCCAACACCAAAACATGGTCCACTCTAGAAATGTGAGTGGAGCATGAAGTGTGCTCAAGAGCCCATCCTGGGTACCTAGGAGAGGAAACAGTAGTTTCCTGCCCTGTTGGAATCTGTAGCAGCATTGGACAAACAAGATCATGGCTCCCACACACAAAAACAACAAGAGGCAGAAAATTATAACTACCAACTGAGGCAGTGGGACATGTGGAAAGGGTGTTTTTTTTCCTAAGTTGGGAAATGAAGACATCATTTCCGGCTAGAATGGTTAGGTGTCAAGTATATGGTGGTCAAGAAAATGTTCCTGAGCCCAGCTGCTGGCTCCACTTTCTCCTGAACTGTGGGCTGCTTCATGCCTTGGTCTGCTCACCTGTCAAGTAGGAATAATAATCATGCCTCTCCCATACAGTCGTTATGAAGATGAAAGGGCTGGGCTCATGGTAAGGCTTCGTGCACATTAACCATTGTTGTCGTGCTAGGTAGGATGACATTTGAGAAGAAAAGTATAAGGCAAATGGCAACCACTCCCTATTGCTTGAGGGAAAAGTCTGGCTTAATTCAAGGGCATAACAGGAGAAGAGTTTGGAAATAATGAGGGAAGGATGTGAAATACAGGGAAGTCAAGGACAAGCCAACCTGCAGAGGGTACTAGTGTGGTCACTCTTAGAAAAGTGGTCAGAGGATCAGACTATCTTGTCAGCCTTTGGGAACATACTCCCTGGGATGAGCAGTAGGACCAGTGTTAGAGAGAGGGACGTTGCAGAGTCTTCTGAGCTGATGCGTGGGTAGCATGCTGCAGATGTTCAGACACCTGTCTGTGGATGAATGGGTGGGGGCAGTGGGTGTGGATGAGATCCATGTAGGAGGGAAGATGACCACAGTGATGCTCCTGACACCGCCAGCCCCTGGAGAGGAGGCAGATACGGAGCCGGGGCTTCCATCCCTGCAAACTCCCCTCGATGATCCCATTTCTTAGGGTTTCTCTGATTTCCATTGCCTCTTGCCCTCCCGTTCATCACTGTTCCGGGCATCCTAGTCTTCATCAGAGTGAACAGGTTTGCAGGTCTGAATCACCTCCCGGGCCACACCAGCTCTCAACACCATGCCAGCAGCAGCAGTCCATTAAAAAAAAAAGAAAACAACTTCAGGTGACCAGAAATTAAATAAATGAGCCGCGTGAGATGGTGGTCAAAGTGCTGATGGGAGTTCTGTTCCCATGGCCTGAAATAGGATGTTCCATGCCGGGGAGGCATTGGGCCTTGCAGGGTGCTGCCTGCATCCCCAATCACACCCACCTTGGAGGAGGAACAGGAACCAGTTCCTGTAGAGACCCTAATATGTCCTACGGGGATCTTAGGGAAAAGCAGATGGCAATGGTCTGTTCTTGGGTGTATATTTAAGCTACCAGGTGAAAAGAGCCTTACAGGCTAGAGTCCTAGAGGGCAAGAGCCAGAAGTTGTCCCTGAACGCTGAGGCAGCTGAGCAGAGGGAAGATTTTCCCAAGGCCTTGTGTGAGCAGAAGCACAGAATGGGTAGGTGAGTGCTGAGTTCAGTGCTGGGAAACGGGGACCCTTCCTTCTGCTTCTAGTGGTTGGTTCAAAGCACATGTCCTAAACAGATCTGTGTCTGCCACTCAGGGATGTCTGAAAAGTGTAGTGCTGACAAAAAAATCATATGCTGATTCAAGTGATAACCCCTTCCCTGCTTGGGATGGGCGGACCCCAAGACAAGCCTTTTGTGGAGAGAGATGGATGGAATTGGAGTGAGTGAGTGGGGTTGGGGTGCAGAGAAGGATTAGATCACCCTACTTAAGAAAAGACCTGGATGGACCAGGAGACAGAAACTTTGCGGGATGGGGAGAGGACCATGGTTAGAGGTGCTCGGGGATGTTTTGAGGATATCACAAAATTAAAAGGGACAAGATTATTATATGGCATATTTATATTGGGTAGTTAGGGAATTTCATTGTATGAAATACTATAAAATCCTCTCTGTCCTCAAGAGATCTTCAGAGATGCTTTTAAAAAAAAATTCGAATATTAACATGGTGACACAAATTAAAAATACTGAGATACCCAGACCAAGACAGGACCACAAAGCCCCTTTTACTTGGATTGCACATGGGCTTTCCCGGTAAATGACAGAATCGCTATTGCCATCAGGGTCTCTCGGCTCATCTGGAAAGGAAAACGTAAGAATCCTAACAGCAGAAACACCAACTGGCTGCTCAGGCAGTCTTCTCAGCTTCTTGCAATTCCCCAACCTCTCCGGCCCCCTCCTCCCTGGCCCCCAGCCCCATAGCTTCCGTTGGTCTCAGGGACTCAGAGGACAGGCCTCTGCTACGGGTGGGGGCTCTCCCCACCCCTCCTGGAGGGAAACGCGCGCCCCACCTGCGTGCCAGCCAGTCTCTCCAGCCTCACCCCGCATGACATCAGGGCCAGCTGGGGCCATGTGATTTTTGCGGTACATTCCATTTCCTCCCGCCTCTGCCTCTGCGCCCCTTCCGTTTGACCTTGAGCCCATTTGGGCTCTCCTCTGCCAGCCCCGCCCCGTGTGCCGCTGCTGACCGTACCTGGGAGTTCCTGGAGGGCTGGCCTGCGTGCCCTGCTGGCTCTCCTTCTGCGGGCATGCGGCCCTAGATGCCCCACCTGTGGCTCACCAGCCCCGTAGACTCACCAGGAAGAGAGGCCCGGTGTGTCGTCAGCAGGCGTGACCCGGCAAGCCTGCCAGGTCCCCTGGGTGCCACCCTGCAACTCTTGGCCTGGCAGCTGCCAGGAGCCTGCAGAGGGGCTGGCAGGGCTCCCCTGGGCCAGGGCGTTCCCCCTGATGCCTCTCGTTTCCTTCCAGTCTCTTTGCCAGCTTCTCTTCTCCCCTGGACCTTTCTGCCTCTTGCTTTGATGTATATTTCTAAGCGAGAAGACAGGTGCCAGGAATAAGACTGCCCACATCAGTGCATACACACTTCCAAGTGAAATCAGTACCCTCGATTTCCGCCCACCCTGCCCCACACTGTGCTCCTGCCAATCCTGGCTCGTCACAGGCTGACTCGGGGCTCTCTTTCCTTGCCGCGATCGGTAACCCCCTCTTGTCTTCTCTCCCCAGGGTCCCGTGGAGAACGGGTCTGTGGCCTCCGCGAACACTCAGAAGACAGACCCTGTGATGGAGCCAAAGCTCAAAGCAGTGGACTGGGACAAGGTAGCGGGCACGGGACAGGGCGGGGTGGTGACTGGGGCTCGTGGGGCCGGGGCGGGGGGCTACGGGCCATGGCTGTTCACGATGAGGGGGATGAGGGCCCGAGGGCAGGCGCCTGCAGCTCCCAAGCTTGACCTGGGGCAGTAAACTCGGCCCACAGTGGTGGTGGGTTCCCGGAAACCAAATGCAAGGTCTGGCTGCAAAGACCCCCGAGGGAGGTCCCCCACAGGGATCCCTGAAGCTGAGAAGGGGCAGACATGCCCAGCTTGACCAGTGCCGAGGCAGAGTGGCCACTGGCAGGAGGTGGGACGGGGCAGGAGCCGTCCGCATCAGGCGGGTGCAGAGCCCAGCCACTCGCCTCTCTCGGCGCTCAGAGACCAGCATCCGGCCGTGGTTAGGCGCACCCACGTGCTGGTCAGGGGGTCCTGGAGGGGCTGGGTGGTCGCCAGTGGCAGTGGAGCTGAGACATGCGTGGTGGCGTTGCCTGGGGCGCAGGAGGGAAGCAGGCTGGGTACATGTCCCTCCAGCCTGTTTCGTGGGACTTGCCCACTGTCATGTTGCCATCTCCTCCCGGAATAGACACAAGGGTTTACGTCCTTAAGTGTTCCCAACCTGTGCTGGACACTGGGAGCAAAAGGCCGGCAGGACAGGCCGTTGCCTTCAGGGAGCTGACAGTTTGGTGAGGAGGCCAGATCTCCCCCAGAACATGTTATTACAAGACGGGGAGATGCGAGAAGCACACCCAGCACCACTGACCAGAGGGCCCGTCCGACCAGGAGTTCTGAGGCCCCCGACCCCAGGGACCCAGAGATGGCATCGGCACCAACTCCGGGGAAGCCCGTCAGCCCAGGGCAAAGACGCTTTTGCGTCCTTCGATGGAGAGTCCAGGACAAGCGGCCCTGTGCCCTGTTCCCTTCAAGGAGGCCTGCGACCCAAGGGGAGGTCGAGGGCAGTGTGTCCGCAGAGGGCTTGCTGGACCTGTCTCCTTACTCTGACGCCAGACTGGGGCACGCCTGCGCATCGCCCAGGCTGGCACAGAGGGTGGGGGCCTCGGAAGGGCTGGCTTCTCTGGAAGCTCTGGGGCTCTGGACTTGCTCTGACGTGACGAGGATGGAGCGGGAGACAGCCAGTGTGAAGGGACAAGGCCTTCAAGCTAGTGAAGTCAGGACCTGGACTTGAGAGAGGAGGTGCTGCGGTGGGAGCCGAGAAGGCTGTGGACGAGGCAGGGTGGGGGGAAGCTGCAGCGCGCCCAGCTCTGCGCTCAGCGCCGGTGGGCCGTGCTCAGAGGGCCCCATGGAGGGGGCCCTAGGCCAGCACGTGGGGCTTGGCTTAGGGACTGAATGTTGGAAGGAAAACACCCTCAAGAAAGCTGACCGGGCCTGGGCTGGGTGGCCAGAAAGAATCAATCGCCCTAGAAGGGAGGGGGCTGTCACATGAGCCTGGCTGAGGACAGGCAGATCACAGCCCTGTGCTGGGGAGGGGTCCTCCTGATTTCCCTGGGCTCCCCTAGCCACATCCCCCAGGCCTGTGCCGCCACCCCCCCCACCCCCATCAGGGGAAGACAGGTCCCCTCCCCTCCCCCAGGTCCAGCCCCTGGCCCCTCGCCAGCACCCCCAGGTCACACCTGACTCATGTGCCCCGCCTGTCTGTCTCTCTTGCACACACTTTCTCTCTTCCTCCTGTCGCTCTTCCTGCGTCCCTGGGCTGAGAGAGGGGGACAGGACTGGTGCAGGAGAGGCCGTGGAGACCCGCTGCGAGCAAGGGGGTCAGCTTCGTGCCTTCCCCAGGCACCAAGAAGACCCAGCTCAAGGAGCTCACTTCCCAGGGAGAGCGAACCGTGCTTTTCTTGCTTTTTCCCTTTTTTAAATTCATCTACCGTGTGGTCCATCCCAGCCCTTCGGGGGAGACGAGAGGCTGGGAGACCCCCATCTGTTTCTGACCCAGTCCAGGGGCCTTGAGGAGTTCTCGAGAGAGGCCAAGTGGACAGGAGCTGTGTTGAAACCAGGGATCTGGGGTGGACTTGCCAAAGCTAACCCTTCATGCTAAGGAAGGGCGTCTCAGGTCCCCTGGCCCAGCCTCCTGGCCCTGGAAGCTGGGGACAGAGTCAGCCATGCTGAGAAGAATGAGGGGAACAGGGATGGGGTGCTGAGACATAGGGTAAAGGTTCTGAAAGGAAAGGGCCAGGAAGCAATCCCAGCGGGCCCTGCCCTGCTTAAAGCTGCAGCATCATCTGGCTTTCAAGCTCTGCATGAGATTTTATTGGAGTTATTTTTAAATCATACCTTCCATCACCTATTGGGCAGGACCCCAAGTTTCCTTGTGGGACAAGATACCAGGTAAGCTCCTCACCTCACACTTGGTCCTACACATCTCCCTGTTTCCTGGACACCAGGCTGTGTGGAGCCTTACCCAGTGGAAGTTGCTGGAGCTCCCACTGCTCCTGGCTTCTGGGCACACCTGTCCTATTTGTCCCTCTGTCCTTGCTGTTTCACTTTGTCCTTGGCAGGGCTTCCCACTTGAAGTGGGAACCAGATTGAACTAGTATGGTTTGAGAGGTTTGCAGAACCCCCTGCCCAGATCCCCCTGGACAGTGGAGTTAGCACCGAATTAATTCTTCTTTTATTAAGCTCTTACCCTGTGCCAAACACTGTAGGCTAAACACTTTGACAATATTATTTTTTTGAAGTTGTCATTCTCAGTTACATGTTATCTTTTTAATTTATTGGTATATAGTTGCTTTACAATATTGTTAGTTTCTGCTGTACAGTAAAGTGACTCAGCCGTATGTGCACATGTATCCCCTCCTCTCCCACCCGGCCCCCACCCCACTTGTCTAGGTCACCACAGGGCACTGAGCCAAGTCCCCTGGTATACAGCAGGTGCCGACTAATTGCCTGTTTTATACATGATCGTGTATGTATGTCAATCCCAGCCTCCCAGTTCATCCCCCCTCTCTTCTCTGTCCCCCGCCGTGTACACACATCTGTCCTCTATGTCTGCATCTCTATTCCTGCCTTGCAAATAGGTTTATCTGTACCATTTTTCTAGATCCCATAATATATGCAATATTTGTGTTTCTCTTTCTGATTTACTTCACTCTGTACGACAGACTTTAAGTCCACCCACATCCCTACAAATGATACAACTTCATTCTTTTTTGTGACTGAGTAATATTCCATTGTCTATATGTACCAAGTCTCTATCTGTGTGTCTGTCAGTAGACATTTAGGTTGCTTCCATATCCTGGCTGTTGTAATAGTGCTGCAGTGAACACAGGGATGCATGTGTCTTTTTGAATTGTGGCTTTCTCAACGTATGTGCCCAGTAGTGGGATCATACGGTAGTTCAGCAACCTACAGATTCAGTGCAATCCCTATCAAATTACCAATGGCATTTTTCACAGAATTAGAACAAAAAGTTTTACAATTTGTATGGAAACACAAAGACCTTGAATAGCCAAAGCAGTCTTAAGAAAGAAAAATAGAGCTTGAGAAATCAGGCTCCCTGACTTCAGAATATAGTACAAAGCTACAGTCATCAGGACAGTATGGTACTGGCACAAAAACAGAAATGTAGACCAGTGGAATAAGATAGAAAGCCCAGAGATAAACCCATGCCCCTATGGTCAACTAATCTATGACAAAGGAGCCAAGAATATACAATGGAGAAAAGATAGTCTCTTCAGTAAGAATATCTCTTCAGATAGTCTCTTGGTGCTGGGAAAACTGGACAGCCACATGTAAAAGAATGAAATCAGAACACCCTCTAGTACCATACACAAAAATAAACTCAGAACTTCCCTGGTGGTCCAGTGGCTAGGACTCCATGCTCCAATGTGGGTGGCCTGGGTTCAATCCCTAATCCAGGAACTAGATCCCACATGCCACGACTAAAAATCTGTTGCAGCGAAATTAATTAATTATTTTTAAAAATAATAAACTCAGAATGGGTTAAAGACCTAAATGTAAGATCAGACACTATGAAACTCTTAGAAAATATAAGAAGAAAATATAAGAAGAACATTCTTTGATGTAAATCACAGCAAGATCTTGTTTAACCCACTTCCTACAGTAATGAAAATAAAATCAAAAATAAAAAATGGGACCTAATTAAATTTAAAAGCTTTTACACAGCAAAGAAAACCATAAATGAGATGAAAAGACAACCAACAGAACAGGAGAAAATATTTCCAAATGAAGCATCTGACAAGGGATTAATCTCCAAAATATACAAACAGGTCATGCAGTTCAATTAAAAAAAAAAAACCAATAAAAAAATGGACGGAAGACCTAACTAGACACTTCTCTTCTCCAGAGAAGACATCCAGATGGCCAAGAGGCACATGAAAAGTTATTCAGCATCACTAATTGTTAGAGAAATGCAATATAATGAAGTGAATACCTCACATGGTCAGAATGGCCTTCATCAAGAAATCTACAAACAATAAAAGCTGGAGAGGGTGTGGAGAAAAAGGAACTCTTCTACACTGTTGGTGAAATTGATACAGCCACTACAAAGAACAGTATGCAGGTTCCTTAAAAATACTATCTTTTCTCTAATTTCGGGTAGCTCAATGTGTAAAGAGCCCACCTGCAATGCAGAAGATGCAGGAGACTCAGGTTCAATCCCTCTGTCAGGAATCTCCCCTGCAGGCATGCATGGCAACCCATCCCAGGATTCTTTCCTGGAGAACCCCATGGACAGAGAAGCCTTGGGGGCTTCAGTTCATGGAGTCGCAAATAGTTGGACACAACTGAGCGTGCGCGCGCACACCCCTCTAGCTTAGCCAGAAGGGATCTGGTTCAAATCTGAGCTGACCCTGATGCTTGGAAGGAGTGAGGGCAGGATGAGATGGTTGGATGACATCACTGACTCAACGGACAAGAGTCTGAGCAAACTCCAGGAGATGGTGAAGGACAAGGAAGCTGGCGTTCTGCAGTCCATGGGGTCGCAAAGAGTCATACACGACTGAGCAACTAAACAACGGTCTGATTTCATTCTTC